CATCGAAAATTATGAACATAGATCAGAGTTCTGTAATTGTGAATATAGAGTTCAATAATTATGAATATGAAGTTCAAAATTATGAATATATAGTTTTATAATTATGAACATATAGTTCAGTAATTATGAACATAGAATGGTGTGCACCATACATGGTGCACACGGTTGCACAGTATAGTTTGCCCTCTAGGAGAGCGACTGTATACATATATTTCATATACGTGATTTACTTGATTGAATAAAAAATGTCCATTTTCGATACAAAGTAGTATTTATTCTGTACTTTTTTAATCATTTTTAATTCAAAGAATCAATATTTTCACCGAGATTTAATACTATGACCACCCATTTGAAATGGTAATAAATGTATCATCGCACTAACAATTAACATATCCGGGAATATGAAGTAAAATGAGAAACCCGCCTACAATAGTGTTTTTTTAAATAATATGGACTACATTTTGTATATATACCTAAAGGTTCTTATGTTGTTCATAGCGAAATATATCAAACAAAGAAAGCTAGTAAACTGCTCTCACAAAGAGTCAAACTACAAACCTTTTGGTTATCAAACTAATTCTCGATTAAGTTAGTTGGGTTGCCTAAATATTTTATGGAGTAATATATATAAAAATAATCATAATAATAATAAAATAACCCAACAGGGTAGCTCAAGTGTTAAATGAGCTCTCTTTGTGGAGGAGAATTTTGGGATAACTCGGGTTCGATTCCGACAAGTGACAATCCCCTTTGGGCCAGCTTCTGTGCGAGTGAACTGGGTGGACCTGGACCGTTACACAGACAGAGAAAGACCCGGACCACAATGTGTGGTTGACATCAAAAAAATAATAATAAAATTGTAACTTTTATGGAGTAAATACCTAAAATCAATTGTAAAGACAAGCAACTATATCTACAAATCTAATAAGATCCAATAAAGTTAGACCCCTAACAGAGACAAAAAAAAAAAATGTTGGTGTAATTGTTTGTTGAAATAAATGGTCATATTATTTTGATTTTAGTATTTTTTTTATGATTTTTCTTCTTTTCCCTAAATTATATTATTTTTTCCTTTAAATAATCATGCATTCCGTTAGTATATAAATTTTAGTAACGGAATATTTCATTTAAATATTTATTATTCTTAACTTATTACTTCATTAGTTTCTATAAGAAAGGTTTTAGGTTCGAACTCCATCCCAATAAGAGTTGGCATAAACTACAGATATTAAAAATACAATATAAAATTTAACATAAACTTTGGTCAAATAATTAGCCCAACTAAATACATAGCATTCAAAGATGAGCATCAAAGATTATAAATCAGGAACCTTGAAATTAATTTTCTTGCATTTAAAAAAAATGTAGGTTTAAGTTTTTTTCTTTCATTTAATTAATATTTTGATGATTTAGAACAAGACTCAATATTTCAATTATGTTTTTGCATTATTAGAATGATTTAAGTCATTATGGTGTTAATATTTTTTGTATGTATTTCTATAATGATACAATTGTACATTAGTTTATAAATATTGTATTATTATTTTTTTTTATGGGACAAAATTGTTCTTACATCATTGTCAGACCTGCGTGACCTAACTACAAAGTTATTGATCAAAAATACAATTATACATGGACTCTAAACAATAGGAAAATTGTCCAAAGAATTGACAATGTTGACATTATCCCATTGGCCCCTATTGAACAAATTTACACTTCATTCTCAACATTTTATCATTGCATTTGAAAACTTCTAAAGAAATTTGTTAGTTAATTTTTGTTATATCATTATAACAATATCTATTGTAACCATATATTTTGAATTATTTATCATCATCCTCTATTGATACCAATTGTAGCAATTGTCATTGACAAACTCCCAAAAGCAATTTGTCTCAACATCGAATAGAAATAAAAAAAAATCAATGACTTTATTGTTGTGGATAAAAAGTAAGTACCACATTTTATTACTCTTATTAAATTAAATAAATTAGTAGTTACAACAAAAAATAATACATATGCATTTCTTTATTTTAGAATTAGATGTTGTTGGTCCCAGTAGGGTCGAAAGAGAGTCTAGAGGGGGGTGAATAGACTCTAATCGATTTTTCAGATTAACTTCTTTCGGAGTTATGCACAGCGGAATATGTATGATTGTTTTAAGATGAACTTTGCACAGTTTTGTTATGAAAGCTTATGATTTGGTTAGTATGATATGCAGTGTACGAAAGATAAATAGCTTGTAAGTAAAGAGAGATAGAGAGATTTTTATAATGGTTCGGCTATCAACGAAGCCTACTCCACTCTTCTTTCACAACTTGTGAAAGGGTTTGCACTATCACTCATAGTACAAACTATGCTAGCTTCCTTGATCACTAAGCCGGACAGCTACTTGGAAGGTTTTTCAACTCCTAGAGTTTACTCCGCCTCGGATTTTGAAGAATAAAATCTCGATGAGCTTCTTTGAAAACTTCACAACTCAAACACACTGGTTTTGAAAAGCTTTTTGATGAACTTGTTTGAAGAGCTTTTCTTAAGATAGAATCAATTAAACAACCAGCACATTCTTCAATGGTGAAGAGATGTATTTATAGGTGTGGAAAAATTCATCTGTTGGAGTGAGATGAAATTTCAAACATATTAACCAGCGTGTAAAAACCACTGGGCATGGAGCATTTATTGCAACTGTACTGTGCAGCTGTTGGTGTCAAAAAGCAACATGACTTTTTGTCATTTTTCGCTGACATGAAATACCAATCATTTAATGCTCCTTGGTTTTTGCGAATATCATTCCTAGGACTCCTTTTATCTGCCCGGCTGTGAGACACAGACAACATTCTTCTTGCTCGTGTATTAAAGTTGTCTATTTAAGTCTGACTTAGACTTAATGGTTTCGGAATTGTCAAACGAAAAATTGTTTTTTATCTTTCGTTATCTCTATTGATCAAATGATTTTCCTTATCATTTGATATTTACACGAGAGCTAGACCATTCCATCTTTCGATCTATGTTGTTCTCTCGGTCTTCTCTTCTTCTTCATTTTTTCTCATAGACCTAATGTACTAAACACAACTCAGATTCGTGTAGGTGTATTGCATATTACGAATCACATGGTGAGTTGCTACTACTTTCGTCTAACACGAAAGATCCAAGATAAAGAATGTAAAAAGAGGGGTCTACAGTCTTAGCAAGATTGATATCATTAAAATCTAAGTACACTCGTTCCTAACAATTTCCCCCTTTTTGATGATGCCAAAACCTATATTCCTGCTATCAGGCTGAAATATACCCATTGAAGGATTTTGATTACAAAACAGCCTAATGAAATTTTATAAATAGATACAATTTTAACAAAACCTGCAAAATGAAATTTCATTCATGATCAACATTCGGTTACAAAAATACTATCAAACCAGTTACATGTTCAAAAGCTTTTGCTTCTGCAGGGCTGCTTCCTATCTTTCTTTGTAATCTCGAGCCTTCTGATCCCTGAGCATTTTCTGGATATCTAAGTCATCGTTGATTAACTTTCTGAAGGTTCGGACGGGATTGGATCGAGCCAATTCTGCATATTTTTCTGACAAGTTGTAGGACATGTAGTTGTTGTAAGCCTCAAGTACATTTCGTCCTAGAATAATGTTGAGATTTCACCACATCACAAGTTCAATTGAGTTCATCCCATCTACATATGCTTGGTGCCTAGATCAGCATCTTTTACAACCGATGTAACATCTTTTATCTTTTCTTGAGTTTCTTGAAAGTAGATTAGTTCTTGTTCTTTGTCTTTCTTGGCTTCTTCTTGTTCAAAGCGAAGTTTCTCATTTGCTCTCTTTATTTCCTCATTTCTCTTTCTTTGATAATCATGTCTTGTTTTATTATCTCTCTTCTTTAAGCAGGTAGGCATGTTGTGGCCTTCAAATCTTTTTCCACTTCCTTCTTCATATTCCTTATATTTCAAAAAATTTCCTGCAGCATCCAATGTTACTGAACTGTCGCGCATCAATTTTTGACGAATGCTCTTCTTTTCTCTCTGAGTGAGTCCCTGAAATAAGTAATCAGATCTGGAGCCATAAGATTGACGAGGCCTTAAGGAATGGTGACGGGATCTTGAGGGAGGTAGTTGATTTGGTTTGGAGGCAAGAGGAGGTGTAGTCCTTTGTTTTCTTGCATCACCTATGTCTCTCCTTTCGCCTTGTCTGTTTTCAAAACCTTCTCCCCTTCTTTCGTCTTTATCATCATCATCTTTCTTGCTGCTCTTTTCCCTCTTTTTAGCATCATCGGAGGCTGGGTCGGAGGGCTTCGAGAGCTTGTTGACTGCAAGAGTTAGCTCCCTGACATAATTTAAGAGCTGGAGTTGATAATTAACCATCGCGCGTGAACATGTTGTCGTGAAGTGTGTCAATCTTCGTGCATGAAAGATCAACTCTCTCTTCGGGATCATTTTGATGCATCTTTTCGAGCTCAGTCTTGAGCTTAGACAACCTCATTGCTGCTCTGAGTTCCTTCATTTCCGCTTCAAACGCCAGATCAAGTGGTGGCTCCTTGATATCGAAACTGATCGGGGCTTTTCCTTTCGCAATACTACGGTTAGTCAATTTGTACGAGTAAATCCGATTGATGGTTTCAATTCGTGTAGCATCATAAACAATTTGAGTGCCAAGCCACTCAAGAGAAAACTTATCTTCACTCCTCATTCTATCAGATCTCTATAAATAAATCGAGAGATGAGGTTCGCCATTGTTGCCATTCCATCACTTGTTGAAATTCAGCTGAGATGGTCTGTTGAAGAACCTGATCTTGTGAAGGTGGTGGATTTTCACTCTGCTTGTTGACACTTAATTGATCATTTGAAGGAGGTGGCAACCTTTCGTCCTTGTCTACTTCAGCAGGTTCTTGTGTCAGAGTCGTTTCGACCTGATCTGCTTTAGTAAGTTTTTGTGTAAGGATCCTTTCGGCCTTCTTTGCCTCAGTAAATGTAAGATATGTCTTGCGCTGTCTTACTAAGACAAGTGCTTGTTTAAGAACCGAAGGTTGCTTGACTTCTGGTGAGCAACTTGTGTTTTCTTCCTCAGAGCAGCATGCTCGAGAGAGTTCGTCCATGTTCCTGAACTGGACTCTTCAAGTGTAGCAGGACTTGGAACAATTTTTTGTTGTTCAACTGTCACTTCCTTCTGAACGATCCTGAATCTTTCTTCTGCTTGTTTTGCTCGACTGACTTCAGAGCTGTCTTCTTCCGAACTATCTTCCTTTGATGAACGTTCACGGTGAGCTGATTCGGATGAAGAACTGATTTTCTTTTGTACTTTTGAGGAAGGCTTTATTGCAACCTTCTTTTTGTCGAATGTTCCTTTCTTCATAGCTTCTTTCGTGTCTGTGGTTGATGGTGCAACTGGGAGAGGTTTCGGTGCCGAGTCAGAAGCTGTTTCGACCTCAGAAGATTTCTTCGTCAGTTTGCTTTTCTCTGGGGCAAGTGATCAAGAAGTATCGGTTTGAGTTTCCACTGGAGTAGATTTGGTTCTTTTTGTCTGACTTTGTTTTGGCTTCGTTTTTGGTTCAGTGTCAGGACCCTTCTTTCTTTTTGACTTCCTTTCTGGTTGAGCAGTAGGAGCTGCTGTTATGACTCCCATTTCTAGAGCTCATTGTTTGTCATAGCCGGGAGGCTTTGATTTCATGTGACAAACTTTCGGTCCAGGAGGAGTCCCTTCTCGGAGAACTACCTTCTCGTGGTTTAGAAGATGACCAACCATGAATCGAAATCCAATCTTTCACCTAATATCCCCTTCCTTCGACTTTCTAGAAGTCACATTCAATCGCAGAAAGTCAAAAACAACTTTCGACCAATCAACATTGAATCCATTGAGAAATGCATGAAGCATTTTCAGCTTGTCCTTTGAGACATCATCAGTTCCTAATGTCTTGTGATCGACAATCTTGTTGAAGATGTCTATTGTAAACTCATAATCGAGCTTGAAGGACTTCTTCTTTAGAGGCCACGTGATTTCCTCCGAGGATTGGGTGTTCCGAATACTCTCGTAGAATGCCTGTTGATCAAATGTATGTTGAGAAAAGTTGGAGTGGTATGATTCATCTCTTTCTGGGAATTTGAGTGCCTCTTGAATATCTTTGCTTGTCACAGAGAATTCTTTTCCATTTACCACAGAGGTAATGGTAGCAGCATCTGGGAAAACCTTTGCGTTGAGATAGAATTCAGTGACATCGTGTGTGAAGAAGGATTTGTAGACATGTGTGACAAAGCTGTAAAGACCACTTTCTTTGAGCAAGTTTATGACCTTGTCACCACACTCCTTGTCAAGAACATGCTGGCAGAACCCATGAGCATCCCACATGAAACCGCTAAGCACAAGATGTTCTCTTGATCGAATAAACTCTTCATCTGAGATTGGGTAAGGAGGTATGACTTCCTCTTTACTGGTCTCAGGTTCTGGATTGGAAGATTTTGATCTTGTGTTCTTCGCCATTGAAAAGAAAGTGAAGAGGTTTTATGGGGGTTTTTGGTTTAGGTGGATGAAGATGATCGTGGGAGTTTTCTTGGAGAAGATGAAAAGTGTATGATTTGATGAGAAACGTATGGAAGAAGGAAAGGGTTAGTGGGTGAAGGGTTTTAGGTTAAATAGGGTACGGGTAATGTTTCTGGGTTGGGTCTTCAAGGTGGGTTACCCAGATTTTGAATTAAAAAACCCTTAGAATTTTTGACCACTTTGTACTCCTTTAGGTAAAAACCCTGTGCAAATTATTCTGATAAGTCCAAAATCATATCAAAATTCATCATATCTCATTTAATGAGGAGAGAGAGTCTACTCAAGTATGGGACAAGGGCATTAAATGCCCGTCCTTTCAACTGTTACCGCATACACCATCATGGGTTAGTGGACCGCTTTTCTCGGCCACATGAACTTCTACCACTAACTGCATCGAACGGTTAGGGACAAGGATCTAAATAAGGAGAAGAATAATCGTCATTCTTTTGAAGGAAAGTATGTATCCTTGACTAATTTATCATGATATTATGAATCAAATAAAGATTCATGAAATCTCCACGAAACAAATAAAGTTACGTGAAGTTGTGGCATCATTGTGGATGTCATGTTTGAGAGATAGATGAAGTTTCAATAATAAATCAAACAACTCATAACACGAAACATCATAGATCATTTTATTTAACAGACAGATATAGATTCATGTTGAACAACACCCATTACAACACGAAAGTTCAGAAAGCCCTTCTTCATTCCAACATTCGACCACTTCATTCGTCCTCTACTTCTTACCTTTTCCTTTCGGACCTTTGCTGGACTCTCCTTTGCTCAAGGATTTTATGTAGAGTTTGAAAGCCACACAGTCAGATATAGTCGAGAGCGTAGTTTTGCCTGAAGTAGTGGAAGTTTCGGAGCCATCTTTTTCAAAATCAGATTCAGCTTCTCGAAGGAACATCATGTAGTCTCTATCGTAGAGGGGGTTTTTCATGTCATCTTCAGATGGAAACATGCTCGATGATCCTTTATTCTTGGTGACGGGTGGTGGTCCTTCGTGCTGATCTGCAATAGGTGCTGAGTCATCTGAGTCATCCGCTAAAAAACCTTCTTTGTGATGATATAGCTCTTCATCAGATGAGATCTCCAAGGGAGCTCTAAGGCTGTTTCCAGGGTATAGTTCACCCATGTTGCTCTCTTATTTTCCTTGATGTTTCTTGCTAACGTCTAGTTGCATCCAAAGGGTTTTCGTGGAGGCATGGAGCTCTTTCTATTGTCTATTTCCTTGGTGTGAGGAGGAGTGATCTTTCTTTGAGAATAGCCTCCCCTTTTATAGCCCAAAAACTCATAGATCACGAGTGGTCTTGTTTACAAGGATTGAATAACTATTCAATGCTTTATCAGTTAACCAAGAATTTCTCATTGCATTGATTGCTATTGTTGACTGAATTCATAATAGACATTCCCAAGATAATTTCAAATGCCCACGTGTCAAGGGTTCTTTCGTCCATATGTGTGAGTTTCTTGTTATCCTCAAGTTTCGTCAAACCTCTCATAATGGTTTCTGCTTGAAAGATTCTTTAGCGTGCCCGTGATATATGTCTGATAACCAGTCAATGTAGTAAAGAGATAGACTTATTTGATTTGTTCCACAATAAAATGAATCAAATAAAGATTCATTTGGTTTGTGAAAATTTGGACTGATAAACTGAATCATTACGAAACAAATAAAGTTTCGTGATGATAATCATGAAATAGTTGGGATCAAATGATAACACTCTTATATTATTATTATTTCACCAAAAGATGGACATTTATTACAAGAGGGCTTAACACAAGATGTATGTCCATTGGGATCACCAAGTCAAGAGAGATTCACTTCTTCTCTTTCCCTTTCCCTGTGGGTTCATTGACCACGTCAGTTGTGTCATCCTTCAGCCATTTGCTAGCTTATTCCTTCCAGGTTCCAAATGACACCAAAGATTCAGCGTCACTCCCACACCCATCTGTGTCCGAGATATCCTCGTCTGGGAAGTTTTGGACAAACTCCATGAACTCTTCATCAAAGTTTGGATTGACAATGTCTTCTTTTGTTAAGCGTGTAGTCGTCTTGCGGGCGTTGCCTTTGGGTTTCTTGGCAGCTTCTTTCTTTTTGGTACTGCTTTCACCAGTGAATCTTTTGGGAGATGATTAATCTTTTATCTTTTCATTATCCATCTTTACTTGTGAGTGAGATATCCTTGAAGTGTTCATTCCTCTTAAATATATGGATAAGAAGATCACGAGCAATGGATTTTAGCGAGTATGAATGACCAATCAATGTGAAAGTCAGTTATGATGACTTTTATGACCATAGGTTTCATCACTCATTTATGATCCATTAAATGCGGGATAAAATCGATGTTCATCGCATTGCCAAGTGTAATCGCATTATTTAACCATTCTTTCGTCAAATTGATTTGAGAATCTTTTGTTAGTCAAGGATAAAATTATGGCAGCATTGTGTAAGTACCCGTGAGTGTGAATAGAATACCAAAAGTAAACTGATAGATAGACCATTTATTTGAGGAGACCAGATGATAAGATAGTACACGAAATACACCAACCGAAATAAGGAGGAGTGTAATGAAATCACTCTATTTTCTTCTTGCTACTGGCGGTGGATTTCAAGTTGACAGTCAATCCGGAGGCAGGAGGGTGTGCCAGGAGGTGAATAGTCGAAACTATCACAACATTCAGATGTGGACCTCCCACTCTTGTACTCATCCAATTCATTGATAGTTAGAGTAGGCGCCCGAGACTCATTTCCAGGACTTGGAATCACATATGAGTGAACTCCTCATGCAGTGAAACGTATCTAAAGATAGGGATTGTTGAAGGCCTCTTATTGGACTGGGAACCAGCTTTCTTGAAGTATTTCTCATAAATTGGAATATAGCAAAAAGTAGGCTCTATTGAAAATTTCCCATCAGATGGTGTGCTCACAAGTTCCACTTTGTTGGATTGTTCTCTTCTCTTCATGACTATTTCGTTAGCTAATTTCCTTGCTTCTTCCAGATTGTAGTTCGTCCACCTTTTCTTTTCCCTTACCTTTGTGATCTTTCATACCTGTAAACAAAACAACTAAAAGAAACTGTGAGAAAGAAGGTTAGTGTGAGCTTGAACTCAAGAGAGTGCTGTTTCTTATAGCAGTTAGCCGAATCTTTTGCCGTGTGAGATCTTCCAAAATATTTCCACTTCTCTTCCCAATATTTGCTTTTTTGGAATCTTTCAGGAATCTTGCAGTTCACATGCATGAAGCAGGTCTGACTGATTCAACCTTTCGGCTAGGTCATTTCAATCATCCCAAGTTCATGTCAAAGAGATGAGAATCTGTTTTCGATCAGTGGCTTCGTGAGAATATCAGCTAGCTGATCATCAGTGTTGATATATTCAAGTGATATATCTTTCTTCTCAACATGGTCTCAGATAAAATGATATTTGATGTCAATGTGCTTAGTCCGAGAGTGGAGTACCAGATTATGAGTGATGGCGATAGCACTTGTATTATCGCAATTTATACGCACTTCTCGTGCTATCACACCATAATCTTTAAGTTGTTGCATCATCCATAGTATTTGTGCACAACAACTTCCTGCAGCAATGTATTCAGCCTCAGCTGTGCTAGTTGCAATGGAATTTTGTTTCTTGTTGAACCAAGACACAAGTCTTCCCCCTAGGAACTGGCAGGTTCCAGAGGTACTTTTACGGTCAATTCGACATCCAGCAAAGTCTGCATCTGAGTATCCAATTAGGTCGAAAGATCTTCCTTTCGGGTACCAAAGTCCAACACTTTGGGTTCCCTAAATGTATATTAAGATCTTTTTTACTGCATTTAAGTGGCTCTCCTTAGGTTTAGATTGAAAACGAGCACATACCCCAATAGCAAAAGAAATGCCAGGTCTACTTGCTTTTAGGTATAGAAGATATCCAATAATCCCTCGATATTTTGTTTGTTCTACATCCTTTCCCTCATTGTCAATTTCCATTCTCAAGGATGTATTCATTGGAATTTTGACGGATGATTTTCCATCAATTCAAAACTTTCGAATAAAATCTTTTGTATACTTAGCTTGATTGATAAAAATTCCATCTGAACATTGTTTCACTTGTAAACCGAGAAAGTAGTTTAATTCTCCCATCATGCTCATTTCAAACTTTCCTTGCATGAGTTTGGAAAATTTTTCGCACATATAAGGGTTTGTGCAACCAAAGATAATGTCATCCACAAAGATAATGTGATCAGCATCTTTGATACGAAAGAGAGTTTTGTCAACAACTCCTTTCATAAAACCACAGTTGATCAGGAAGTATGAAAGTGTATCATACCAGGCTCGTGGAGCTTGTTTTAAGCCATATAAGGCTTTCTTTAAGTGATAAACTTTATCACTTTCATGATTAGTTATAAAGCCTGGAGGTTGTTCCACATAAACTTCTTCTTCAAGAAGTCCATTTAGAAATGCACTTTTCAAATCCATCTGGAACACTTTGAAATTCTTGTAGGCGGCGTGGGTAAGAAAGATTCGTATTGCTTCTAGTCTAGCGACAGGAGCAAACGTTTCATCAAAATCAATGCCTTCTTCCTGACAATATCCTTTGGCTACAAGTCGAGCCTTGTTCCTAACAATGACAACATCTTCGCTCATCTTGTTTCTAAAAACTCATTTGGTTCCTATAACATTTTGATGAGATAGTCTGGGAACAAGTTCCCATACTTTATTTCGTTCAAACTGATGTAGTTCTTCTTGCATGGCTGTGACCCAGTCTGGATCATTTAGGGCATCCTCAATGGATTTTGGTTCAATCTATGATAAGAAGCATGCCATCATGCTTTCATGCATGGAAGCACGAGTTCTTACTCCTTCTTGAACATTTCCAATGACCTGATCAGGAGGACGATCTCTCAACCATCTCAAGTCTGGTTCAAAAGAGGTTGGTTGTGCTTGTGCATCCATCATGTAGGGCAACTCAACATAGATCATTGGTTCGGGTTGAGCTTGAGGTGCAAGAGGAATTTCTTCAATGGTTGATTCGTGCTGAGTCCTAGTTTCTAGTTCAGTGGATCTTGGTTGACATCTTTGATGAGATGATAGAAAATCATCATGATCTGAACTATCTTCTTCCACATGATTGGGTGCTTGTATGCTTAGATTTCTTACGTCAATTGTTTCAACATTTTGTGGAGTCTTTTCACCACTTTCATCAAATTTGACGTTGATGGATTCCTCAATGACCATGGTTCTTTTATTCAGAACCCTGAAAGCTTTACTTACTGAGGAATATCCCATAAATAATCCTTCGTCGGCTCTTTCATCAAACACTCTTAGATGGCTCTTCCCATTGTTATGAATGAAACAACTGCAACCAAAGATGTGAAAGTAACTAACAACAGGTTTATTACCTTTCCATAGTTCATATGGAGTTCGTTTCGGAGTTACATTAATAGCCGTAACACGGGATGTTACATTAATAGAATCTAATTGATTTTTCAGATTAACTCCTTTCGGAGTTATGCACAGCGGGATATGTACGATTGTTTTAAGATGAACTTTGCACAGTTTTGTTATAAAAGCTTATGATTTGGTCAGTATGATATGCAATGCACGAAAGATAAATAGCTTGTAAGTAAAGAGAGATAGAGAGAGATTTTTATAGTGGTTCGGCTATTAACGAAGCCTACTCCACTCTTCTTTCACAACTTGTGAAAGGGTTTGCACTATCACTCCTAGTACAAACTACTCAAGCTAGCTTCCTTGATCACTAAGCCGGACAGCTACTTGAAAGGTTTTTCAACTACTAGACTTTACTCCGCCTCTATCAACTTCTTCTTTAGAGTTGAGTGTTGGATGGAAATGACGTGTTTCTCCAACTGCTTGAAATCTTGACTTGATGACAGGATGAATCTTCTTATAAAGATGCAAGACTTCTTGAGGATTGTGAAGAATAAAATCTTGATGATCTTCTTTGAAAACTTCACAACTCAAACACACTGGTTTTGAAAAGCTTTTTGATGAACTTGTTTGAAGAGCTTTTCTTAAGATAGAATCAATTAAAAAACCAGCACCTTCTTCAATGGTGAAAAGAGGTATTTATAGGGTTGGAAAAATTCATCCGTTGGAGTGAGATTAAATTTCAAACCTATTAACCAGCGTGTAAAAACCACTGGGCATGGAGCATTTATTGTGGTTGTACTGTGTAGCCGTTGGTGTCAGAAAGCAACATGACTTTTTGTCATTTTTCTCTGACATGAAATACCAATCATTTAATGCTCCTTGGTTTTTGTGAATATAATTCCTAGAACTTCTTTTGTCTAGGATGATTGCCCAGCTGTGAGACATAGACAACATTCTTCTTGCTCGTGTATTAAACTTGTCTATTTAAGTCTGACTTAGACTTAATGGTCTCGGAATTATCAAACGAAAGATTGTCTTTATCTTTCGTTATCTCTATTGATCAAATGATTTTCCTTATCATGTGATATTTACACGAGAGCTAGACCCTTCCATCTTTCGATCTATGTTGTTCTCTCAGTCTACTCTTCTTCTTCATTTCTTCTCGTAGACCTAATGTACTAAACACAACTCAGATTCGTGTAGATGTATTGCATATTACGAATCACATGGTGATTTGTTACTGCTTTCGTCTAACACGAAAGATCCAAGATAAAAAATGTAAAACTCATTTCTAACTGATGTCTATAATGCCTTTATTTTTAAAAAAAAATTATTCACTATCAAAAATTTGAAAAAGAGATATATTCTTATCTCTACTTTCTCAACCTATTACCTCAATCTCATGACCTCCATCTATACTTTCTCAATATGCCTCTACTGAAGCTCAATCTCATGACCTCCTATGTAGGAGAGTCACTACATGCCATCTGAGCACAAGGTGCTCAACAATTATTCATTACCTTCAAATTCATTAATTAATTATATTAACTATTGTCTTCTTTTTACACTATTTTGGAATTAAGTATCAAAGTTATTGTACAAAATATGTTACATATTTATTTACCAAGTATTTTATTAATACCATGAAAAAAAATTAAAAACAATTTGAAGTCAATCATATTAACTGCTTAGAGATGATTTGTTGACAAAGAGGCCGGGTATTCAAATAATCCAAGAAGTTGAAGTATGAAACTACCCTGTAATATCTCTGGATTACATTACAGTTGCTCACTTTAAAGGTAAATCATATTTTTTTTATTAAGATGATTTAAAATGTATTAATTTTTACCATCTTATCTACTTTTATTCCTTAAATAAACTAGGAATTTCTCTATCTACAAGAAGTTATTCAACAATAATGGTTGAACCAAAAGTACCCCGAGCAAATACCTAAAGGACTGATATGCTTTTATGGTGATAATAATATGTAAATGGTTACGTAGCTACATTTAAAAATCATTATTAAAAATATCAATCTAGGGCAATAGAACATCGTGACACACTATTGACGCATCGAAAAGATGTCGAGACTACAACAATGCTGCAATCAATCTTGTAAATTTAGAAAATAAAGAAATTTAAAAAATAACCAAGTTGCGACATTCATTGATCTTGTATGTAAAATACTTATTGTGCATCCTTTAAATATATTTTGAATTTACAATTCATTTCATTTTCTCGACTCAATCTATTTGGATTAAAGTCAAAATCAGCATCAACATTGATAATAAAAACACATAGTATTCGGACTACTTGTAGTAGAGTCATTGTTGTTACTATCAAGTAAATAAGTTACGAAACTAGAACAAGAGGCCAGGTACTACTCATGAACCTTCTACAAATATAATAAATATTAATATTTTGTTCAATACTTTCACATGAGAATATACGACATACATCTCACAGCACATGAAACATGTAGGGAAAAAACTACAACTGCCAAATATCAACAGACACTTGCAAGATAAAGAGTTCATAGTACAACTAAGATCTCAATCATATACACAACAAGAGAAATCTAAAATTTCCTACATCATAAACTCATTGCATGACGCTATCTTCTATGCTACCACCAGTAATCCAATTGCACACAACACACTACAACTAAAAGAGAAGATGACAAGTACTAAAGATTAAGACAATGACAATGCTACCCAAAAGATAATTAAGAAGACTTTGGAGAAATTAAAACCAAAAGTATTATTTATTTAGACTATCGCTTTTAGACTAAGGGTGTGTTTGAAAACTCGGAAAATTATTTATGGAAATTATTTTCCGGTTTTCCCGTGTTTGGCAGGGAGTAAAATACTAAAGTCAATGTAAAATGAAGTTTGGTCAATGAAAAATTGATGCATTTTTACGGAAAACGACTTCCTTTTTTTTTTTTTTTTTTTTTTTTTAGGGGAAGTCATTTTCCGCTTCTTCTTCGCACAGAGACGACATTCACCAAAGCGTCCTTCTTCACAGAGAGACCTTCCTCTTCGCGACATTCACTAACGCCAACCTCTCGACCACAAAAAATGGTTTCCGGCTATGGGTACGAAAACCCACAGCCGGAAATGTATTGGTTTCCAACAAGGAAACCAATCTGGTTTCTGGTGATTGGTTTCCATGCCGGAAACCAAACCAGTGCTCTAGTTTGGTTTCCAGTTAGAGAAATCGGTCCAATTTTATTTATTTTTTAGTTTTTTTAATAAATTTATTGTTTGGAGTTTATACATGAAGTCATATCTATTATATATTAAAGATTTGAAGATTATATAGTCTTATACAGACAAAATCTCTCTTTGCATTATTATAACAATTAAAATGGTGAAGTATACAATTTTCATATTAAGGTCATTTGGTAGATGTAGGAAGCATTTTTTCATACAGCACCGGATTTAGAGCTGTGCAAGCTAGCCGTGCAAGCTGGACTACAGAACAGGGCCCCAAATTTTAGAGGGATCCCCAAATTTTAGCGACCCAATATTTAATTTTTACCTAACTAATTTAAAAATAAAAACTAAAATTTTCAATTAAAGCCTTCATTCAGT